TCAGAGCGGCATGCCATCTTCACCGTCCGAGCCTCAGCCGGCGCGCGCGCCCAAAGCTGCCGCTGCGGCTCCTGCCGCTACCTCCTCAACCAACCACCCTCCCCCGGACACTCGGCACCATCCCCACTCTCGCAGATCCCGTTCCCGCCACAGACAGCACCGACACTCCCACTCCCCCACCAGCCACCATCGCAGGCACAACAAGTCGCACCGACGACACGACACCCGGCGATCCCGCAGCTACAGCAGGTCACGTTCCCTTTCCCGACACTTCCACCACTCCCGACGTGCACACCACTCCACTGTCTCCCTCCGCTCCCGCTCCCCCCGACACAGGTCCCACAATCGACACTCCCCTGCACCCAGAGCCACGACTTCGCACCGACCCACTCACACTACTCATGATTCCACCTCCTGGCGCACTTCCGGGAAGGATTCCAACAAGTCTCAATGGTCCTCCCCACACTGGCGGAACCAATCGTGGGGATACCCACCACAGAACAAAAACCGCTGGGACATGCACCACCATGGCGCCAGCCACACCGGCCACCGAAACAACCAGGGCAAACGATCGTCCTGGTCACTGCAGCACCATGGGCAGCAACCCCACCCCACTTCCCGCACCGGCCACCACAACACTAGCGTGCCCCCTCACCCAGCACCTGCGGCGGCCTTCACTTCCACTCCCCCTCCCCCTCCCCGACCCACGCCGGCTACTCCTCACCCTCCCCAACCCCCCTTCGGCAACACCGGTGATTTGGATCCCCCTCCATCGGAGGCGGACATCAATGCCACCACCACTTCCGACAACCGGTGGCTTGATCTATGGAGAAACGTCATGGACACGGCCAAGACTGACCCGCTGCGAGTTCCCACGCCTAGGGAGTTGGGGGAGCTGGACCCGCTTCCAGCCTTGGACATCTCCAGGGTGGAACAGACTAAGGCCATTTTGATGGACCTGGACCCTGCTTTGCCACCTTCACATACCGATCTCCTCGCGGAATGCTGGGAACTGCGAACCATGGACACGGATGATCCCATACCGTTCGATCCCAGCTTCTACCACCTCTTGGGACGGGAATCACACGGCATGGTGTTCGCAACCACTTGGTTTCCCCGACCTCATCCTTGGCCAGTTGCTGGCGGAGACCCGGAAGCTGGATCCGGCACGGGCTGTCATGTATGTGCACGGCACCACCCCGGATCGAGTGCGCCGCATGTGCCATGAGAACATGATCCGACCCGCTGCTTGGAGGCCCGAGAACCATGACTACCCGAGCTTTGGATGCTACGCTCAGGCCACCCCCACGGCATGCACGCCCGACACGCTCGGCCAGCTCTTACAGAACTTTACAATCGGAAAGTCTCAACTCGGCGCCATCGCTTTTGGGGAACTACGCTCCATCAATCAGCACAAAATCCTCGAATCCGGGGGAAGCCACGAGGATCAACACAACGTGCGGCGCCACTTCGCCTGCCGCCGAGGCAAAAAGTGGTGCCTTCACTCCAAGTTTGCGATGCTGAGAGGCATCGCGCTGCAGCGCCCGGCTTAGCGGGGCGCAAGTGTACCATCTTCCACCCAACCAGGAAAAGAATTGGTGCACTGTTTGATCGCCTTTTTCTTTGCTTTGCTGTTCTGCCTTTCCGCGACCGTTCTCTCACCTTGTGACCTTACCCGCTTGATTCCGCTCACCAGCTTTTGGTTCGAACATTTCCTTTTCCCCCGTGTTTTCTCATGGCATTCCAACCCCCTCGAGGTTTGGTTACGGCGCTCCAAAGGCAAAACTTACCACCGCAGCCTTCGCCCACGGCATCCCATCATCATGGCATCGTGTACGGCAACAACATGGCCGGGAACCCGTGCGGGGCCCTGTCCGGGCCTTCCTACGGATGCTCTTCCACGGCATCGGCACCGCCAGCTACACATCCGACTCCCTGTCAGACCTA